ATTGTTATTTAATTGTTATTGTTATTATTATTATTATTTTCATCGGAAGGAAACGAATTTATTTGAAAATTTTTAAAGAATGGTTTCAAGCTTTATTGACGTAGCATATAAAACCACTGCGCCATTACTGTTGTTGTTATTATTATTATTATTATTATTATTATTATTATTATTATTATTATTATTATTGTTCTTTAATTTTCAGGAGCAAATCCAAATTAACTATGCCATTCAAGACAGAAAAGGCGGGAAATGATGATGATGATGATGACGACGATGACATACACTAAAATTGTTTTTGTATTCGTTTGTATGTTTTTTGTATAAATTTTGTGAGAGTCTCTTTTTGCGTGTCATGATCGCTTAGAACTTTCACTGTTTAATTTAGTCTATTACAGAAAATTGGCCAAAAAATTGTTTTTTTTCTATTAAAAATTATAAAAAACGATGATGATGATAATGACAAAAACAACAACAACAATAATTATAATAATAACAATAAAAATAATAACAACAGTGACAATAATAAAATGATGAGATATATGGGAACATATTTTCAAAGCGAGATGTTAATTTTCACTAAATTTTGAAAAAAAAACACTAGTGGAAAGAATGAATAACAATAATAACAACAACAACAATATTAATAATCATAAATAATAATAATAATAAATAATAACCATAATAAAAGATAAATAATAGTAATAATAATAGAGGCATGCGAGTGAATGCCATCTTTATGTCTGCCCTGACGTACATGCTTGTCATGAGAATATGAAAAAAAATATTTTTTTATTGTTATTATTATTGTTGTTGTTGTTGTTGTTATTATTTTGACTTTCTATAATAATTTTGTTTGTTAGTCTTTTTTATTTATTTTGTTTTTCAATTATTCTTCGCCATGATTAAATTTTAAAAGTTATAGTTTCAATTTTTGTTAGCTCAACTCACTTGTTTATCGCTCACTTATTCACTCACTCACTTATTTTTTCATTAGTCCATTCATTCATTCATCAAATATCACTTATCCTTCCATCAATATGCAAATGACTCAAACATAGTATCTGAAATCTCGCACCAGAATCTCTCTTCTCAACTTGATAGTCTTAACTCTTGTGCCTCGTCAGTGAAAGACTGGCATTCCCTTAATTCCCTTCAACAAAATGCCCAAAAATCTGAAATAATGTTTTACTGCACACCACAGCAACTCGCGAAATGTTCTCCACCCACCAACGAGTCCATTGGCGGATCAAACCTGTCTACCTCAACCACTCCACCATATCTTCACGAACAAATTCACCTCCGCTCATCTGTTAATCATCTCCATCACCTTCGTCTGCCGTCACCATTGCATTCATTCACTCACTCATTCATTCATTCCCTCATTCATCCACTCGTTCATTCATTCACCTTTTCACCGATATTGAGCACAGACTTAATTTGTTTCCTTTTTTAAAAATTCTCAAAAAATGCAATATCCTTTCCAGAACTATAAATAAAAATTTTAATGAAAAAAAAGAAGCAATGCAAAAAATACAAAAGTACACAAAAAATGCAACGATACGAAAAATACAAAAGAAAATACAGCAACAAATGCGATCAAATCACAAACAATACAAAAGAAGACGACAGCACAATACAAACTGAAAGCCAACAAAACATTACCATTTTATACGGTATAACAGTTGAAAAATTACATCAAAATATACAATCGCTAAATACAACAAGATACATCAAAATAAACAAATATAAACAACTAAATATTTAAAAAAAGAAAAAATTACTTAAAAATACAAAAAAAAACAAACAAAAAATAACAAAATTATGGTGTTATTAGACGAATACATCAAACAAACTGTTTTCACTATTCTATTGTGCAGCTCTCATTATTAACATACAAAGAAAGAAAGATTGATAGAGGAGATAAAAGAAAAAATGAAAGAGAAAGAGAGAGAGGGGGAGGGAGGGAGAGAGTCAAAGAAAGAAAGGAAAAGAAGTGAGAAATAAAAAAATTGTGAACAAACTACAGTAAAGAATATTTGTATTATTTACAGGAAGAAAGAGAAACACAGACAGTCATACAGGCAGACAGAGAAACAGACAGACAGACAGAAGGGATGGTCGAAAAAGCGGGGCAGCTTCTCTTTTATAACAGTTATCAGTATATACTTGTTTTCATTTATCATTCTTCCATTTATTCCTTTATTCCGATTTAAAATTAGAGCCAGAAGTTTTTGATACTGGAAAATGTTAATACGACAAAAGATGTTGAACAACTCCAAACTGTAAAAAAATTAATTGTTTTATTTTCTAATTATTCAAAACAATTCATTCACACACTCATTCACACTCCCATTCACACACACATTCATTAATTCATTTATTCATTTTCTTTCCATCTTTTTTCATTTTTTCTCTCATTCATTCTTCCTCTTTTTCTTCATTCATTCATTCATTCATTCATTCATTCATTCATTCATTCATTCATTCATTCATTCATTCATTCATTCATTCATTCATTCATTCATTCATTCATTCATTCATTCATTCATTCATTCATTCATTCATTCATGCATTCATTCATTCATTCATTCATTCAATCATTCATTCATTCATTCATTCATTCATTCATTCATTCATTCATTCATTCATTCATTCATTCATTCGTTCATTCATTC